TTTGCATAATACAGAATCATATGACGTAATCTGTGTGTGCCATGAGTGTGCTCATCTAATCTCCATTGGTTCTGCATAAATACAGAATCATACTGACGTAAGTTATGTGTGCCATGATACTGTTTTCATAAATTTCTTTGTAAACGAACGTAATGATTCTTCCTTTTTCTTTCAGTTTGTAAATAATGGGACTTGCAGTATTTTATTATAGAGGAATTTTGGTCCTACCCTTTTGGATTATTGGCTTCTATTATGTGTAATCTACAGAGACTGATTGTTGCTAAGTGTCTATTGGCTTTTAGCTCAAATACTTAATATTATAAGTTGCTTTCTTGTTCACCAACTTCTTCTTGAATAAATTTGTAGCCTTGAGAATGCTGGGGAAGGTTCTATTTTGCCCATGCTGAGGTCTGCCAGACTTGTTTTACAGTTTCTTTCTTCAGGACGATCATACTCGGTTGGTTCCTCATGCAATCGTGTGGATGCCCAGGTTTGCTTAATCTCCTATTCACTGTCCTCTTGTTTCTGATTTTATCATCATTATTGTTCACAACTTTTTTATGTGGTTGCGTTTCAATCTGAACCTACGTTAGGGGCACGAGGATTTCTAAGTCATGATGTTACAAAATGGTTTTGACACAATCGGTAACGGTTGTTCCATTGGGATAGAGTGGTGCTCTTTGCTCTGTGGGCTAAAGCATAGGAATTGGATGGCCCCTCAAGTGTGATTTCTCCCCATTCTCTTTTCAGTTTTGTACTTAGTTCCTTCTTAGGGTGATACCTTATCCTCCTGCCTTGTATTCTGTTTCATAATATAATCTCATTCTTTCATATATATATATATAAAGAATAGGTAAGTGTAGTATTGACCAAGATGACTAAATCTTCATTTATTGGAAGGAACTGCATGTTATTTTTCCAACATAACCCATTCACTCTATGCTAAGTGCAATTAATATAACTTGTTGTCTTGCCTAATCTCTGTAAATCTTAATTTTGTTTCATCTATCTTCTTCCATATATAGTTGCCTGGTTTTCCACGAGGATACGAGGGTGGGAACTTGAGATGTCTATATGTGAACTATCTGTGTTCTTTTTCTGTCTCTCTTCTTTTCTCTTTCCAAGCACAAAGTGGGCTATGAGTGCGTGGAGGGCTAAATGAGAGTGAGACTTCAAAAATTACTGTTAACATTATCTAGTACGGTCTTAAGCTTTTTGGTTATCTCCGTGTCAATTTAAGTAGCTTAAGTTATTTAGATTACTCACTAGGCCTCTGTTTCAGTAGTGTCAGATTTCGGAATCCTTTCTAGTGTCTGTTGATAACTTTTCTTTGAGAGCCTTCCATTTTGATGGGTTTATATTTTATATGTTATATTATATTTTATATCTACATGTACTCGCACAAAAAAAGAGCAATAATATAATGTTGGGGTATCTGTGGTGTTGCTGGATATTCTTGCATATAATTTTGGTAGAAGTGGCACAGATTTGTTTTCATATTTCTGTATGATTTGAGTATGATGCAGATGATGTGGCATTTCGTTCAGTCTGCCTGGATATTGCATATCAGCTGCAATAAGAGAAGAGTTGCCCCTATTGCTGCACTTTTGTCTTCTGTGTTGCATTATTCTGTGTTTAGTGATGGGAATATGCATGAAGTCGATCATGCAGCTGGGCCTCTGAAGTGGGTCTGTGGTCTCTCTCTCTCTCTCTGTGTGTGTGTGTGTGGACATGCATGTCCCTAGGTTGATGACCAAAAAAGATCTGATGTATTCATTAGTTGGAGTGACAGTCATCTCTTGGGATTTATTTTTGTAGTTCATGGAAAAGCTTATTGAGGAAGGTACTAAGAGCCCTCGCACAATCCGTCTTGCTGCTTTACATCTATCAGGGCTTTGGTTGTCAAATCCTAGCACAATAAAGTTCTATATTAAAGAACTGAAGCTGCTCACGCTCTATGGTTCTGGTGTGGCACATCTTCCTTTTGTTCAGTTTTTATTGTCCTCTACTTTTCTTGTTTTATGATGTAACAACATTGAGTAGTGAATTCTCTCTTCCAGTTGCATTTGATGAGGATTTTGAGATGGAATTATCTGATAATTATGATGCAAAGACAGAAGTATCATTATTAGCTAAAAGCCCAGACTCTGAGCTGACTGAGGTAAGCTTCCATTTATCTTATTGTTTGTATACCATGGGACCTTCCCTGAGTTCCTTTTCCCATCCTTTCTTTATTAATTTCCCCATTGGCTACCTTTTCTTATAGGCTGTCTTTGTCTCTCTCTAGCCTATTTTAATGTTCTCAAACACTTCTTTCCTTCTCTGTTAATGGTAGTTTGGGGGGGGGGGGGGGTGAGAGGGAGGGGTTTGTAGTTCCTCTGAACTCGAAAAGAACCTCCACAAGTTTGATATTTTAGAAGACAGTTGCGTGGATCTTTTTGTATTGGTGACACCCGTAGAAGTTGCAAACATTACAGTCCACAAGCAGTTTCATGTTTGTGTGTTTCTAGTTCTGTAATAGTTGACCAGAATGGCATGAATTTTGGGGTGAAATCAAAAGCCACTTGTGCAGAAGAATCATATAGACCTTGCCAGTTATGTTTTATCCAGATACTTGGTGTTATATAAAGGTCTCAAAGACTAATAGCCACTTGCTTTTGTATTGTGAGCTGGTATTAATGCTTTGGAATGAATTAGTACTTTGCTCTTGTTCCATTTTCAAACTACTCTTGGTTTTTTCTTACCCTGCTTATTTGAGGGGTTGTTTGAAGAACAAACAACATACAATGCAGTGGGGAAAGTCACTCTTTGGTGAATGCTGGGTTTTATCTTTGAAACATAATACTGGAATCTTTTAATTGTCAGGTCAACCATATTCTTATTACTTGGGATAAAATGCTTTCTATTGTCTCTATATTGGCCAAGGCTTGGGGTTCCTCTTGGGGCTTGCATTTTTCTATTTTGCATTGTAGTTGGGCTGCTCACTTATATTAAAATCAGCATCTTTTCCCTCTTTTGTTTCATATTGTTTCTTTTGGGTGCGAGAATACCTTACTCGTCTTTGTGCTCTCTTTGCTTTTTAATAATATTTTCTTTTTCTAGGAAAAAAGGAAAAGAAACTTGGTGGAACAAGAATAAATTCCACTTAGTTTTGCTCATATGAAACATTTCCTTTGTAGATGAGGTTGATTCTATTACCTCAATAGACCTACTTGGTTGGTTGGATGCATGTGGAGACTGCATATTATATGGTATTTTACTGATTATATGCTCATGAGGGTGTGTCTTGCTCTAGGATTGCATTACGTATATAAAATTTATCGTTTTAACTGGTGGCTTCTTTTACTAGGTCTTTATCAACACAGAGTTGTATGCAAGAGTTTCTGTTGCTGCACTGTTTTACAGACTTGCTGACTTGGCTGATATGGTCGGATCAACAAATGAAAATAAAAGTTGTCTAGCGGCTCTAGAGTCTGGCAAATCTTTTTTGCTAGAGCTTCTCGATTCTGTGGTATTGGTTTCCTTCTTTCAGTGTGAGATAATTAGAAATTTCACCTTAAGCCGGAGTTCTAACGTGGAGATAAAGTTATAAAAATCTCAGGGAAAACTGGCTATAATGTATTTCCAATTGCACAATAGAGGCAAGCATCTGTTTTTAGTGACTTTACTCTGTCTTATCCATGTGGAGTTATTGTCTAGGATCAGCCTTTAGGGCATTGTTTGGAACAATTGAGCATAGAGTTTGAATTAATCTTAAAATGAATTTTGGTATGGAATTTACTTGAAAATGAATTCCATTATGGAATTGAATGCATTTGAAAATGAATTCCCATATTTGAAATAAATCATTGTAGTTAATGGACTTAAACTAAATTATCATGAATGCAACAAAATTAATTTAAATTCAGTGTTTGCCTGTACATAAATACCCCTTCTATTTTTACTCAATTTATCATCCAAAATTATTTTTATTAGACTAGTTTACATATTTGTTTTTTTTGGTAGAAGAAGAAATATTATTAAAGATGGAAAGAAGAAAAGTACAATGTAGAAGAATGCGACATCCTCCACAAGAAGAATAGTTTGCATTTTCATATACATATAATATATATATGTTCACTATTCAATCTTACTAGAACTTTATATTTAAAAACTAATTCAAATATACATATTTAAAAACTGTTATGTATAATGATTGTTGTAAATCTTGTGTACATTGGTGGTACTTGTTAATATACGGCTTACTTTTTTATTTAAAAAAAAAAAAAATTACTTTTATTCTAACTACCAGTTTATATATATATAAAATAAAAATTTATATGTAACTCTTAAGTGTTTAATTTATATATGTATTTATTGTTAACTGCTTATAAACAGTTTATGAGTTTATTATACATGCACTGTTATATACAAAGTTATATTAGTCTGTATATATAAACTGTTTAACAATTTATATATATGAACTGTATAACTGTATGTAAGCAGTAAAATTGTTATATATGTAGTACTGTATATACATATGTAATGCTGTGCATACATAATACAGTTATAGTTATGTGATTTTAGTTTGTTGTCATCTTAATATAGATATATATGTATGTAACAACTCGCTTAGATGCTAATTTTTATATTAATGTAAAATATATATAATTTGTTTTTATCATCTTAGTGCATATACATACGTATATTTCTACTTTTTTAAAAATATTTGTATAATGAATAACAAGTAAAACAAAATTTTTATCATTTTGATGAATTTAAAAAAAATGAGAAAAATGATGTTATAAGATATTTTACTTTAAAATATGGAATTGACCTCCATATTTCATCAAATTTGATGAATTTGTATAAACTAAATCAAATCCTAACGGAA